CCATAGATATTTATTATGATTATATCTTCATGTTCAATTGATCCTTTAATCATTATATAATGTCCTTCCTGGTCTCGTATAGTGGTTTTTGTCTTAAAGTCAATTTGACCAGAAATTAATATTGCCACTCTTGCTCTCTTACAGTTGCCATTTGCTTGATATATCTTTTTCCAACCTTTGATTTTTAATCTATTTTTGTCTTTATCTCTAATGTGTGTCTCTTGTAGGCAGCTTATTAATGAGTTGTGTTTTCTTATCCAATCTGCAACTCTACATCTTGAGTGCTGCATTTATTCCGTTAAAATTCAGTGTAATATCTGACAAGTATGAATTTGTTGCTGTCATTGTGTTATGTGTTTTTTCATGGAGTCCCTGGTTTCTTTGTTCCATATTATTTTCTGTGGTGACCTCATTATGTTTATGAATCCTGTTATCATTTCCTTTGTTGCTGTTGTTTTAGTATATGCTGAATATTTGTGCTTGTCCTTTATTTTATTGTGATTTGAAGGTGTATCATTTTTCTTTGAGGTTACCCTATGATTTATAATTTTATCCCCAAGTTTAGAACAGTCCATTCTATCTTGCAACTCTGTTAACTTCCTCACCATTTAGAAGTTCTGAAACTACACAGTATTTTCCCTCTTTTTGTTTGTAGTTGTCCCCACTTGCCAGTTGATGTCTCTGGTTCCCTCTTTACAATCTTCTAAGTTCATTTTACTTTGGATATGTCCATAGCTGTGGTTTCTGGGTTATGTAATCTTGTGTATTAATGGTGGGTTTTTATTTGCTATTTTTGGTTCTCTGTTCAAAGGACCCCCTGTAGCATGTCTTGTAAGGTTGGTCTGGTTTTAACAAATTCCCTTAGTTCCTGCTTATCTGGAAATCTCCTAATTTCACCATCATATTTGAGGGACAGTTTTGCTGGATATATAATTCTTGGTTGAAAGTTTTTCTCTTTCAGGGTTTTATATATACCATCTCATTGCCTTCTTGCTTGCATGGCTTCTGCTGAGAAATCAGAGCTCATTCTTACTGGCTTACCTTTGTAAGTAACTTTTTGTTTTTCCCATGCTGCTTTCAGGATTCTGTCTTTGTCTTTGGTTTTGATGAATTTGATGATGATGTGTCTTGGTGATTTTCTTTTGGGGTCTATCCTGTTTGATGTTCATTGGACTTCCTGAATGGGTATATTCTCATCTTTCATCATATCAGGGAAGTTCTCCTCCAGCAAATCTTGGACAATTTTCTCAGTGGTTTTGTTTTTGTCTTCCTGTTCTGGAATTCCAATGACATGTAAGTTATTCCTTTTGATGGTATCCCACATGAACCTTAGGCTTTCTTCATTTTGTTTTGATTTTTTTTTTTTTTTTTTGATAGATCCCTTTCCAAAGAAGTATTCAGGTATTTCTCTTCAATCTCATTAATTCTGTCTTTGATTGCATTGATTCTATTCCTTTGCCCTTCCAATTTCTGAAAATTTAGCATTAATCTTCTGGATTTTATCTGTAGATTTAGAATCATTTCTAATTTTTCATTTATTTTGTCATTTTGCTCTTATATTTTCTTCCAAAATTCTTCTAGGGTTTTTTCTGTGTTTTCTTTGATCTGTCTCTCAATCCTTTGAAGATACCTAAATATAACTCTTGAATTCCTTATCAGAGAGTTCCAATGCTGCTTCTTCCTCAGGGATGTGTTCTGGGTCTCTATCCTGCTCCCTTGTTTCTACCAGTTTATCCTTCTTCTTTGTGTGGACTGTGATGGTCTGTTTTCTCCGAGACATTGTGGCATTGGTGCATTTAGATTTCTGTTAACTGTTTGTGAAGAGCAGCCAAGGGTTATTCAGTCTTTTTGGTGGTTTTTTATCTTTGACCCACTGGTGGAGAAGGAGGTAGTGGCTCTCGGTGAGTAAGTGAAGTTGCAGGAGGTGTGGGTGTAATTGTGTCTTACGAGGACTGTTGCTGTCTCCCACTCACTTAGACAAAAATTACAATTGAGTAACAATAAAAATAACTAAAAGCACATGGACAAAAAACACACCATGTAATCACACAGGAACAGTAACAAAAATAGAAAAAAGGGAAAAAGAGGAAGAAAAAAACAAGAAAACCTGCAGTATCCGGGAATAGGGCACTAAGAGAAAAAAAGGTAGAGAAGGAGAACAATGAAGAAAAATGTGGGAAAAATGCAAAAAGAAAAACAAGGAACAGGGTTATCTATGAGAAAAAAGGGGGAAAAGAAAAAAACTTAAAAAACAAAACTTTCAACCAGGAACAGGGAAAATAGAAAAATCTGAAAACTAGGACCTGGGAAGGGAAGAATAAAGAATAATAGTAAAAAGGATAAAAGTATTAATAATAATAGTAGTTTTAAAACACAAAAATACCAGCAAAGTGAACACCAGAAAAAAGAAAGCGAAAAAGAAAAAATATAAAAATAGAAAAAAAAAAAAAATATATCAGTGGAGGACACACTGGGCACCCAGGCTCCGTCTGAGCACACAGACTAGGATGGAGTTCTTGAGTGCCCAGAAGGGTGGGAGTGGGGGATGGCCACACCTCCGTTCACCAAGCGGGTGTGGGGTATAAGAGTAACAAGAAGAATGTCGCACCTTTTCAGTGGTGCAGGTCCAGAGTGTTCTTGGGGTTGCTGGCAAGCAGAACCTATTCTCAAGCCCTGGCATCTCGGAGAGCACTGTCTCTTTAAATATCTAAAATGGTCATTCCGTTTGTAAACATTCAAAATGGCGGTGCCCTTCAGACAGGAAAAGTCCACAGCTCAGCCTGCCTTTCTCTTCGCCTTCTCCATTTATACCCTAGCCACCAGAACAGTCCTCCGTGTAGTCCCTGGCTAGCAGGGCTGATTTTTAGGTTAACTCTTAGGTCCTACCACCACTCGGCACTCTCCAAGCTATCTGTGCCATGCCGTCAGGATCGCTCAGGATTGCTGCCAGACCACCACTCCGTATGTCTCCATTTTTGGTATTTTCATTCAAATTATTCTACTAGTTGGGGTTTAGTCCACTTCTAAATCCTTCCCTTCAAGGCTCAGGGGTCCAGGATTATCTTCTGTGTGTGTGAATTGGTTTCCCTTTTCTTTGTTGAAGAGGGTCTGTGCAGTCTTTCCGCCTAGTCCACCATCTTACCGGAACTCCTAATTCTGTTCCTTTTTTAAGGCATTTTATTAGGACTCAGCTTTAAGCATGGTCAGAGGCATCATGGTAATGGAAAATATGCTGGAAGGAAGGAAGTCAAGAGGGTTGTGTCTTGGTCCCTCTCTGCCTCTCTCTACTATGACCTTGGACAACTAACTCACTGTCCACTTTGCCTCCATTACCCTGCCTCCTTATAGATGATAGTCTCCTCCTTCACAGGAAATAATAAAGGTGAAAATATTCTGTAAACCAAAGCAGGTATTCAAATGACAGTGGAGTGAACCATATGAAATTGCCATTTTTGTACTGCCAAATATTGGCAATTTCACGATTCAACTTAGCACAATGAATAACAGCTATCATTTATCAAATACTTTTTCTTTATCCCTAACAGATCTATGAGGTAGGTAAAGCCCATTTTACAGATAACCGATCTGAGGTTTAACTATACAAGATTATTATACTTGGACCTGAGTCCAGAGCCCATGCTTTCCCTATTACCATGGTGAGATCTGAAGGAAGATATCCAATCTGACATTAATGATTAAACCAAAAACCTGTTGTTGAGTCTGATTCATAGGGACCCTATAGGACAGGGTAGAACTTTCGCCATAGGTTTCCTAAGGCTTTAATCTTTACAAAAGTAGACTATCACATATTTCTCCCTCAGAGAGGTGGTGGGTTCAAACTGTGGACCTTCAGGTTAGCAACCAAGCTCTTACCCACTGAACCACCAGGACTTCTGACGTTAATAATAACTGGATACCAATCAGAGTGACAAGGCTCTGATTTGAGTATTACAAAATCTGTAATATCCCCATGATTTAACATGCTCTCCATCCCTTTGCCTCTTAAAATTTCCCTTCGCTATAGGCAGCCAGCCACTAGGGTTATGGTCTTGATGTAGCCAGACCCTAGGTTCTCTGTAACTTACCACTTTAGAATTGAGTAAAGCTTTAAGCACAATGCTGTTGCTTTATTAGTGGATGAAAGCACAGTGATTTTTTTTTTTTTTAAGATTATTATTTGGAGACGGGGCAATGCAGCCCAGTTTTACCTCTGTATCTTGTGTTAAAGACTGAAGAGCTAAGAGCCGAATTTGAGGTACTGGGAAAACGCCCCCTAAGGGGCTCTGGTGGCATAGTGCCTAAGGCATTTGACTGCTAACTATAATGCTGGGAGTTTAAACCCACCAGCCACTTCGCTGAAGGAAGATTGGGCAATCTACTTACCTAAATATTCCCGGCCTCAGAAACCCAAAGGGGGTCGCTATGAGTGGGAATCAACTGGATGGCAATGAGGTTTTCTTTTTACCCTTCCAAGGCCCAAGGGCCCCAGCTTGGGTAGGGTCGGGAGCTTAGGGGGCGCCGGGGACGCTTTGGCGGAACCAGGACGTTATTCTCTTACCTCTTCTCACTCTTCATCATCCTTCCTCACGCTAGCTAGTTCTTTGAGGACGAAACCTTATATTTTGCATTATCACATTTGCAGATGTGAAATCCGATGCGACGTCGTGCCTGAGCGGAGAACTGCAGGCACCAACATTTTACAAGGGCTGCGGGGGTGGGGTGGGAAGGGAGGAAAATCCCCATTTTTAGGTCCCAGTACCAACCGGACCTGGTCCAACCAGTCTTTCTGCTCAGAGACAACCCACACACAGTAATGGCTTCCGTGGTCCAACCAGTCTTTGCTCAGAGACAACCCACACATGGTAACGGCTTCCGATTTCTCTGTCCCCGCCTCTGGACTCTTCCGAGTCCCGCCCCAACCCCGAGAAGTCCTTTAACATTTCCCGCCCCTGCCCGAGCCCCGCCCCCGCCCAAGTAGCTTGTACTTGTCTCGGCCCAAGATGGCGGTTTCTATATTCTGCGGAGGTTTCGGGCCCCGGGTGAGTGGGTATCTCAGGAGAGGATGGCAGCTGGGGGCCGCTGGGGTAGCGAGCCTAGCTATTGTCTTACGCCCTCTTCCCTACTGTCTTACGCCTCCCCTCTCTCCCAGGTCCAGGCTGGAAGCCGAGAGTTATTGTACGCCTGGCGCGCCCTGCACGCTTCTTCGGTCTGCGCCAAGGTGAGCGCGTGGAGAGAGCGGGAGGTGGACGCACGCTGGCCGGGGTCCATGGGCGCGCGGGGATCATGGGCGCGCGGGCATCATGGTCCCGTTTTACTTTTAGAACCGGGCAGCCCGAGTCCGCGTAGGCAAAGGGGACAAGCCAGTGACCTACGAAGAGGCTCACGCCCCGCACTACATTGCCCACCGCAAGGGCTGGCTGTCGCTGCACACAGGTGAGGGGACGGTGGTGGAGGCTAGTGCGGGCGGGAAAGGACAGCGACCACAAGGCTCAGAAAAAGGAGTTTTCACTTTTGGTCGGTATGTTAAAAGGAGCTTTTTTTTTTTTTTCTTGTTTGTTTTTTAAACTCGTAACTGTAATACAAAAAAAAAAAAAAAGGACACGTGTCATAGATTTTATTTAACTAAGTAATTAGTCAGAAATCTCTCAAAACCGGTGCAAAGGTGACAAGAAAGCAGAGACCTGTATAGATTCGGTATACCGAAATGAATTTGAAAATGGATGCGCAGCTGACTTTTATGGGGTGGTGTTGTGTGCCTTCCGAGTCTGTCCCGACTCATAGCGACCCCTCCTTGGGTTTCCGAGGCAGTATCACTATGGCAGTAGATTGCCCAACCTTCCTTCCCAGCAGTGGCTGGTGGGTTTGAATCGCTAACCTTGTGGTTAGCAGTCAAGTGCCTTAGGCACTACACTACCAGAGCTCCTTTTCCCTGGGGTGGTGGTGGTGGTGTTCTGTGACCTCGAGTCGGACCCAACTCATAGCAACCCCTCCTTGGGTTTCCCAGATAGTGTCACTACGGAAGTAGATTGCCCAGTCTTCCTTCCGAGTTTCCATAGGTAAGAGAGATCAATTTATTTTGCACTGTTGTCAATTATCTACAGTTTACAGAGAGATGTAATTAATAACTCAGAGGCAGTGAAAGGAGTTAGGCCCCTGTAGAATCAGATCACCCAGGATAGTGCACTCTAAATAATGCAGTTTCCATTCTCTGTGGCAGTAGAGTTGATTTTGACTCAAACTGGCCCCTTATAACAGTAGAACTACCCCATAGGGTTTTTAGGCTGTAATTTTACTGGAGCAGATTTCCAAGTCTTTTCTCCAGCAGAGTTGCTGGGTGGGTTTGAACCGCCAACCTCTCAGCAGCTGAGTAATGAACTGTTTTCTACAAAGCATGTATTTTGTTTGGTAAGGGGATTCTCAGCTTGAATGTTTGAGATGCATCTGGAGAATTTACTTAAAATTCAGATTGCTGTTCCCACTCCCCTTTTAAGTTCTGGTTCTAAGGTCTTGGGGGTGGGCACAGAGAATCTTTTATCAGAAATAGAAAGGGTCCAGGAACCCCAGGACCATATTGTAAGAATCCACCTGAGGGAGTCTGTATTCCTAATCTCAGAAGTAGCTATTGGCACTCATCTGTCTGGCCCTTAGCCCTCAATCTTCTCTTTTGTAAAACAAGGATAAATTATACCAAAAAAAGACAAATTCACTGCCCTCAAGTCATTTCATACTAATAGTGACCCCTCCTTGGGTTTCCAAGGTGGTATCTCTATGGAAGTAGATTGCCCAGTCTTCTTCTGAGGAGTGGCTGGTGGATTTGAACTGCCAGCCTTCTGGTTAGCAGTCACATGCCTTAGGCACTATGACATCAGAGCTCCCAGGATAAATGACAGTCTCTTTTTAATACAATTGGTTTGGGAATTTATTAAAATGATGTACCTTAAATTTTAAAGTGCTCATTTTCCACTGGCAGAGGAAAAGAGCTGTTTTTTGGAATAGGGTGGGGATATTGGGGGGTTTGAGTGCTCAGTGCTTCCAGATGTTACCTCTGCAGTTTTGGCAGGTTTCTGAGGTAGCAAGGCTGACTCTTCTGTGGTGTCTTCAGGTAACCTGGATGGGGAGGATCATGCTGCAGAGCGAACGGTAGAGGATGTCTTCCTTCGCAAGTTCATGTTAGGAACCTTCCCAGGCTGCCTGGCTGACCAGCTGATCCTAAAGCGCCGGGCTAACCAGTTGGAGATCTGTGCCCTGGTCCTGAGGCATCGACCTGCTCACAAGTTCTATTTCCTCGTGGGCTACACTGAAACTCTGCTGTCCCACTTTTATAAGTGTCCTGTACGTCTGCATCTCCAAACTGTGCCCTCAAAGGTTGTGTACAAGTATATCTAGGATGATCCACTTTTTTGCTTCAAGGTCTAGTATACAAAGGACAGAAATGGGTGGGAAAGGAAAGAAGTAGAACATGAAGAAATACATTTTGTCAGAGTACTTAGGCATCATTTCCAAAGCTGCTGTTGAATAAATTCTCTCCATATTGTCTTGCCTCTTAGGTCTGTCCCTACTGTTTAGGTGAATGAAGGAGGTAAGGGTATTTTTACAGGCTTTAGGGCTCCCACCAATGCTCACAGTTGTCTGAAGTTTGGATGGTTGCCATGGTTCCTTGAGTACTGTATTGGGTGCTTTACCTAACGTTCATTATATTCTTTC